ACATTGCATAAGCTCAAAATCTTCTTGAAATATCGCCCGGAAATGATAGTGTTACACACACAGAGAATGTATTAATTTACGACCTTGAACTTTGACCTTTTGACCTCAAAATCAATAGGGGTCTTTATTAGGCCACAAGGAGTTGCTATGTAAAATTTCATTGCAATAGCTATGGTTCTAGAGATATCGTGTGGAAACGAAAGTGTTATAACAGAAAGAATTTGCTTATTTATGACCTTGACCTTTGACCTTTTGACTTCAAATTCAATAGGGGTCTTTTTTAGTCCATAGGAAGTTGCTATGCTAAATTTCATTGCAAAAGCTTAAAGGGTTCTCGAGATATCGTGTGGAAACGAAAGCGTTACAGACAGACAGAAAGACGGACGGACGGACAAACCCAAATTGATATCCCCCACTTTTCAAGCGGGGGACAATAAATATCACCGGGTTCACAGGTGCGTGAAAGTCAGTCAATATATCGGGTCTCAATGGATCAGGGTTTAAAGCGCTGACATGGTACGCCAGAGGCCCTGGGTTCGAGTTCCGGTTGAGACTTAATTTTTCAACACCTGTGACATTTGGCGCCAAACGTAACAAAACCCACTATTCCCTAGGAGCATGCTTCATGCATTTTCGTAACTCATAGAATTTGAGGACAAAATTCAACGATGAGGGGAAATATGTCACCGGGTTCACAGGTGCGTGAAAGTCAGTTGATGAAGGAGATAACGAACAGTAATCAATCTCAAAGTCCATAAAACAATACAAAATAAGAGCAGAGCAAACACGAATCCCAAAACATCAGAGGCGGGATCGGGTTTCATGGGTAAGTGGGCATCCCCTGCCGACCGGTCACATCCGCCGTGTGCTTCTTGTCATGAGCTGTGGAAATAACGGAAAAATCTGTCGTCCATTCAGTGTAAAAATAATGGAATAACAATTAGATGAAAAACGTCAGTCAGCATATGACGTAATGATAAATTGTATTTGCTGACAAGGCCATTCCACGACCATAGAACTCACGAAATGATTACCCAGTTTTATGTTAACGCCCCCAAAATGTACCTGATTCAAGATAAAAAATTCACCGCCTGTCAATCATTAAAAAACAATAGCTTTTGATTTGATTGACAGGTCAGCTACGTGTACCTGTGCTTCCTGATAATCTGAGTTTGTATGTTTTGAAAACAATTACCTGGTCACGCGTCATACTCTTTCATGTACCCGCATAGTATACACGCGGGTTAGAAAACTCCAATATGTTTGAATTTTATTTCAAAAAATAATTGAAAGTAGATTATTAAAACATTTACACCATACAATATTTCTTTTCTATCCTCACTGCTGTTTGTTACTTGTAAGTGTTATATCGTCCACGTTATCTGTAGAAAAAAGACTGTCCACAGAAACCGGCTCTATTTGCCGTAATTGGAAGTCCGACGATTAAAATTATTTGTTAAGAAATATCCGATCTCGATAGCTCAGTGGATAGACCTCTGGCATGGTACGCTGGAGGCCCTTGGTTCTAGTCCCAGTTAAGACTGATTTTTCACCACCTGTGAGATAAATAAAAATGAATTAAAGAATAATGAAATTTAGAGTAGTTTAGTTGTGTGCCAAGTAATACTGAATTTAAGATAAAACTGTCGGAAAACAAGCATGATTAAAATAAATATCAAAAACATTTTTTTAAATGACCATGGCACGAAAAACAACAGTAATTTGAAAAAAATGAGTCTATGTTTTAATACAGATCACTTGTAATTTGTGTTTATTTTAATACATAGTGACTCTCCATCCACCACCACAACATTACGGCACAACGTATCCCGGCAGAGAGCAGAACAACACAACTCCACATCCTTATCCAAGCGCTGTCCAGAACAACCATTATCCTATCGATTATAACATTCAAACTTCATATCCGACTAAATAACGTTCGTAATGCCCAGGATATTATTGATACGATGATTTAGCCACCCTCGGGTGAGTAAAATGTTCAACTCGCCGTTCGGGCAAAGAGAATATTGCTCTCCGTTTATCATTGTATTTACCTCAAAAAGAACAATTATTGTATATATGTGTTATAGAAGGTCGTTTCTTTTGGTTTTATTTATTTAAGATGCATACTATGTATGATTCATATTTGAAATAGCTTTATTTATATATTTTAATGCTGTGCATCCGAGAATATATTTGATAACCTCGAATATTAATCTAACAAAGTAGATTTATTGTCCTTAGCATAAAAAAGAGCTCCATGGAAAATCCTATTAAAATATTTAGATGGGTATTTATCTTTATGCATTGAGACAAGCCATTCAATTGAGCCTCATTTTCCGTTGGAAAATATGTGTATGTTAAGTGCTGTATGATATGTTATTTAATCATCTCACGTTTTCCTTTTGTTCTATGATTTTTTTTGTTAGATTTGTCTGTTTCTAGCAGAGCAAATTTAAAATAAAATGTTCTTTTTGAAGAACAAATAAGTTAAATTTAGTCATAAGAACGTCCATAACATTGTTGTTCATATATGCGCCAACTACAAGTTTTTGTTCGAGAAATGTTTTGAATTTAATTGCAATATAAACATTTTGTTAAATTTGATAATTAAGATGTATGTACATTAAACAATCATTGGTTGTTTTCAAGCAATGTACATAATTTTAGAAAATAAAACTTTACAAATTAAATGACCATTATGTATGTTTTTATTTGAGATACGCAGGAACATTCTCTATGTATAAACAATTTCTAAAACGAGGTAAATAAATTATTGAAAAGCGAGTTGATGAAACAAGAATATCAATAGTCTCGTTTAAAGGCATCATTTTGTACGTTCAATGGTCGATACAATGACCTTGTCAGCAAGTTCAGTTTATCATTGAGTCGAATCCCGACTGCCGTTTTTCATACTCATTGTTAGTCCATTCCTTATACATTGAATTGTCGACAGATTTTCCGTTATTTTCCGATCATTACAAGTAGCACACGGCGGATGTGACCGATAGACAGGATATGCTCATTTCTACATAGTACCTGATCCCACCTTTGATGTTTTGGAGGTCTGTGTTTGCTTTAATTGCTCATATTTGGTATTGTTTGATGGACTTTTGACCTTGAACATTGTTCGTTAGCTCCATATGTTTCATTGAAAAGAAATTTGCACACGTCTATCAGTGTGTAGATTTGTTCCAGTGTTGACATAAATATAGTTCCTTGTTTTGTCAAAACAGCGTTTTATATGCGAAGGTATTATACATCTTATCTGTATAGTAAACAGACTCAATGTGAAGACAGCAAGCGTTATATTTGATCTTCAGTACTTAAACATGTTAAATTCATATAAACCTGCGTAAACAACAAAGTTATTCAAACATTTTTTACCTGAGGAGATAATAATTTTCGTTCTAATGGATTTTATTAGGGAAAAAATTATGTCATGACTGATATAAAGGGACACTTTTAATGCCAATCCAAATCAACTCCGCTGGTTAGGTCCCACAGTAGGATTGATTTGTGAAAAAAAAAATTAAGAAAAGCAGGACATTGGGAGATAAAATTAAGACGCAAGCATCTCAGTGTGCACATCAAATACCTTCCCCAAACGGAGGGAGATAATATACACTGTATAGGAGACTGGAAATATATAGAAAATATTTTGAAATTTTCTCTATCAAAGCTGGACTATGATTAGTGATATTGATATGTAAGAACCCTTTGGGAGTATAGATTCAAGATGGTTCGAATCATGACCACTGGTATATGAGGAGTTACTATAGGTGATCTAACGTTTTCCCCTGCAGTTAACATGTACTGAGAAGTAAATTTCGTCTTTTCAAGAACAGCTAGGTCTTTAAAGGTGCTAAATACATATAACGACATTAATCGATGTCGTATAAATGGCAGTGATATATTATTGCTTAAGATTACAGTAATTTCACAAAACATATTTTTGGTGCATTAAACAAATTATGAATATTTAATTTCTTTAAAACTGTAAGGGACAGATACCTGTTTGTTCTACAATATCTACATCTTTGATTGTCTCTGGTCATGAAATGATCAATCTTTTTTATAAAGGGGTTATTTTAGACCCTTCAAGAGCCTTTCAATGCTTAAAGGAACACTTTGGGATTGTATCCAGTTATTTTTGAATTTGAACATCACTAATCATGGAGAGTGATATCAGCATTAAAGTATTACGCTAAATTGAAGTTCAAAAGCTACATGTTACATATAGAAGTAGCGATCTCAACGAAGGCATTTTTGGTAAATGGATAAGTCCAATTTTATAAAGAATAAAATGAATGTTATTAAAAATATGCAACTAAGATTTCTCCCTGGCAGTTGCTTTTTTTCCAAAATAAGATCTTGCAGAAAAGAGAGAACGTACTCTGAAAATCAATATTGGAAACATTAATTCTTGGTTAAACCATAATTTAAAAAAATACCCCATATTTTGTAGACAACTGTTACGGAAGAAGAAAAGAGGAATTTCAAAATAATTTAATATTTCCTAAATATCTTGGTATCCAGATTCGTTATCAACAAATTTCCTTAAACTTGAAAAGGAAGATTGTTAAGGATAAGTTTCTCAACATTTCATAGCATGCAAAAACATTTTAATTGGACAGATTGTAAAAGTACTGCTTCCATTTGTCAGAATTATTAATTAACAAATTTTCAAGTGATAAGCAAACTCCTTTGATATTGATATAATCACTAAGCATATTTTTTTTTTCAAATGCAACGATATCTTGTTAAGCTTATCTTTATCTGTTGCCAACAAAAATATTTGTTTTTCAATAAGCAGTCCCGTAATAACATAAATTATAACGATATCACCATTTCCGTATCAAATGGAAAAAAACAAGCAATAGATTAGCAAGAAAACGACTTCCTTGTGTCAGGGAGGCTAAGATTAACCAAAAGCTTATACTTTCCTTCTATATCCCAATACTTCCTAAACCTAAAAACAGTCTTGATCAAACACTTGGAGAGGCATGTTGACGATATGCGCTGTGGCTCTTTTGTTCTATTCTACTGAAGCGTTGCAGAATTACAGCTTTGGTGACCCACGGGCTTGCAATATCGAGAAAGGAGATCAGAATTTTATGTTTGAAGTCCTGCCTGGATTTGGTTGGGATAATCTTGTAAATGAAAATCGAGGAGTAGTTGTCAATTTTAACTATTCAAAATGCAAAACAACCGAGGACAGAAAATACCTTATTCCAGACGGCGTCGTAGCTATTCCTATCAAGACAAGTCATTTGAATATCTTCTCGAAGGTATATGATCACTGGTCTCAATATAAGTCAGACACAGCATTTTCTATAAATATCGGTGGTTCAGCTAGTATCGCAGGAGTCAAAATTGCTGCAAGTTTGTCCACTGAATATGAACACATTAAAAAGCATCAGCTTGAGGATAAATCATTTACTACAAAAGTCCAAGCACGATTCGTCCGGTATAACGCTAAAGTTCTTCCCGACATACAACTTGATCGATCATTTCGTAAACGTCTTCTGAAAATAGCCAACCATATTCAACATAATCGAAAACTGTCAACAAGATATGAAAGTGAACTCTTAGTTCGAGATTTTGGCACCCACGTCCTTACAAGTGTTGATGCTGGTGCTTCTATTGTCAAAGTGGATCAGGTCGACTCCTCTCTACGTGCAGACAAAGAGGTTGATAAAGTAAAGATAAGTTTTGCAGCAAGTGTCTCCTTTGGAATCGGAAATGTAAATATGAAAACGCAGTACACACACTCAAAAACTGCCATCGAGAAATACATGAAAAGTGTTAAAAACTCAGATATAAGAACATACGGCGGACCACCAATGAGTCCTGAAAATTTCACACTTAGTAAATGGACACCCACTATTGGAAATGATTTGGTTGCAGTTGATAGAAATGGATTTCCTCTTGATTATGTCATCTCTACAACTTCACTTCCTGAACTATCTGAAAGTCTAGTTGAAGAAGTCGTCCAGAGTGTTCGAACTGCAATCTCGTCCTACTTCCTCCATAACACGTACCCAGGATGCACCGATCCAGACGCCCCAAACTTCAGCAAGATTTCAAATCTGGATGATGGTACCTGCCATGCACCTCTAACGAACCTTAGCTTTGGTGGGATTTATCAAACATGTCAGTTCCAGGGAGGATTAATGAATAACGAAAACTTGTGTGACAAACTGAACATTACTGTAAGAAATCCTCAAACACAGAACTTTCAATGTCCGGAAGGATTTGATGCAGTTCTTCTTTATGAAGGAAAAACACATAAAGCTCAACACGAGCACACGTGTCATAAATGCTGGATCTTTTTCAAGTGTTGTCACGATAAGTCTTATTATGGCTCTGCAACATACACATCATATTGGTGTCGTGCAAAACCAAACACACCCGTTCAGGAAAACAGCGGATTTCTCTTTGGAGGCCTCTACTCAGACAGAACCAGTAATTTTGTAACTCAATCAAAATCATGCCCGCAGTACTACAATCCATTGAAGATTGCCTCTAATGTCCATGTCTGCATCAGTGATGATTATGAACTTGGCGCCAAGTCTTCCGTGCCATTTGGTGGTTTCTTCAGTTGTCAACATGGTAACCCTTTGGTTGACAGTAAATATACAAAATCTTGTCCTAAAGGTTTCAGTAACCACTTAGCCACCATTGACAACAACTGTGAACTACAGTTCTGTGTAAGGACTGGTCAAATGTCGGAACTAAAATTTCCTACAGTTCAACTTCCACCGTTTATTGGTATCCCAGCAGAGAGTTTAACAGAGAGAGCAAACTATATCATTTCCCATGATTCGGAATCCTGGACCCAACTTATAAATCCCGAAACGAATAGCAAAGAGCCTGATGAATCCACTTGGACAACTTTGAATTCTGCACCAACAGAGATGCATGCCTTGATGAAGAAATTCTCCAATAATCACGTAGTCAGTGAAAATGATGATTCAGGAATGTCTAAAGGTGCCATTGCAGGTCTCTCAGTTGGCCTTACAACTGCTATTTGCCTGGTATTAGGAATTATTATAGCTGTTCGACGAAATCAGAAACAAAGAAAAATCTATGAGAGTTTTAATTGATTTTCTTTTACGATTTGATAAGTTTGCTTTTTGCTTTAAAAACGAAACTTTGGAATTTTTGAGAATTTTGAACAAACATGCACTGATTCAATGGTAATTGCTCGACGTAAGGTTTTGTAGTTTTAGAGAGCAATATGTTTTAATGATTCTCCGTTTTAACCTGCTACCAATGACATTATGTATGATAAGATAACTTACTTATTGCAAAATTTAAAATTGCGCACCATTAGTGCAATGAATAATTAGAAATGCTTCATGTTAGTATGAACTCTTAATCACGCTTTGTGACATTGTCATGATTTTACTACTGTAACAACTAAAATATTTTTTGAGGAATAAAATTCACCGACCTGCAGATTTCAAATTAAACTAGATGCTGTCATGAGACAGTAATACCCGCACTAAGGTGTTTGCCTCTAAATACACGCTCCTACATATTGGGCGGCTTTCCAAGGAAAAAGTCAAAATAATTCTATAATTTACATGTATTCATCAAATTGAATATGAAATTCTCAGACCCTGTGACCTATAACTCAGAATCTCTTATATTTATTTTATACATGCTTAATTCATTATATACCAGTCTGAATTCTATTAATGATGTAAATTCATGCGCGGATCTGTCGGGGGGGGGGGGGGGTCAGGACCCCCCCCTGGAATTTACAAGGTTAAAAAATGTATATACTAAAACAAGGAAAAAGTTACAATGGACCCCCTTTGGAAAACGCAGACCCCCCTGGTAAACACGAATATGTGTTAAATGGGTATGAAAATTTAAACATTTGAGGCAATAGAAGTCACCACTACCCCACCCCCCACGATATAGGTTTTTGACGTTTGGGTGAGTTTTACTTTAGGTTTTTTTTTTTTTGGTTGTCAAGAAATTTCTGGGATAGGATTTTTTTTTTGACTGAGGTGGACCCCCCCCCCCCTGGAAAAAATTGCTGGATCCGCGCCTGAAATTAGATTTTGATATATGTTTTGCTCATAATAGGACCTTTTTAAATTTACTAATCCCCCCCCCCCACTCGACACCACAACCACACAGCACATACTTTTTGGAATAGGGTAGATGGAAAAGGTTTGTTAAAATTTAATATCATTTGTTATGAATTAATTTAAAATTTCTTCTTGTACTATACATGTTAACATGTAAATTTCTACATCACATCACGTTGCGTCACCCATTATCATATTTATAGATTAAACACCATTTGGCACACCTCGGCCGATTCCCACTTCATCTGATAAGGTGACGGAATCGACGAAGGTTCGCCGAATGGAATTAGCACATTGCTGCAGTCTGGTGTGCATTGGATTAATTCATTTTGTGTTATAATTGGATTTATATTTCATGAAGTTGACGAGACACAGGCAGTCGGTAAGTAGAAGTTTAAGTATAGTGGGGGGTAAAATACACCCAAACGATTAGGTTAAAGTTAAAAAAGGGTCAAAGATCATCGCATGCCACACTAGACGAATTTCATATTGTGAAGTTATCTCCCGTTGTCAATGTGACATTCAGTTACTGAACTTACTGCCAATACTGGTGCGGATCCAGAATTTTTTTTCGGGAGTAGGGAGGGGGGTTCACATCTCAGTCAAAAAATTCCAGCCCAGAATTTCCTGACAAGCAGGAGAAAAAAAACTGAAAACAAATAAACAAATAAAAAACAATGATAGTGAGGTCAATGTTTTCTAAGTTAGGGGGAGGATGTCCAGAGTCATTTTTTATTTGATTCAGTATATAGTCTTGTTTAAATAACAAAGCAAATTCCAGATGGGGGGGGGGATGGGGGGATTCCAATCTCCCTACCCACTTCCTGTCCCTGAAATAACAATCTATTTTGTGATTCCAATTAAATAGTATGTTTTTTTCCATTTGACTAATTATTATACATATTTTGTTTCTTGTGTTTATATTATGTCTGTCTATTAGTCTGCAGAAATTATAACCTAGCTAGCTTGCCCATAAGTTTTAAGTGGGATGGGCTATACAAATGGCTTCCACATTTTATAGGTTTATTTCTTGTGACAATTAAGACCTTTTATTTGGGTACCATTAATTTTTACCTCTGATCGCTTGACCTAGGATACACATTTTTACAAGAAAAATACCAAACTTTAAACTCTGCCTAAATTTTGATCAGTAGGTGCTAGGGCTTTCATGCTTAACATGTGTATTCATTGTGAACTGTCAACAGGTATAAATATGTTTGACCTTGACCCTAGAGTTTGAACCACTTAAACAAAAAAATTAACCTTGGCAATTAACTTTTGAACAGGAATTACTAGGGATTTCTTTATTTCACATGTGCATTCCTTGTGACAAGACTTTCTTCTGATACTAACAATTTGAACCCTTTGACCTTGACCTTTGAGTTTGACATATATTTTAGAAACTTCAACCTTCACCATAGGCTTCCATACAGGAACATCAGTGTTTCACAAACACATCTTATCTTCATTATTATTTGGTGGTGTCTCCATATGAGGGAAAAATTCCCAAGAGAGATGTATTCACAACAAACAAACAAATTACTAAAGAAAATATAAAACATGAATATGTTGGTCATGCATATCTCTGCATGAAAAAAAACAGCTTTTCAAATACTGCAACCATATTGTAACCCTTTCAAAACACTCATTTGAGCTTTTCTGGTTTCCTTAGCATATAACGTCTGTCGTGACGTGTTGTCCATCTGTTTGTCTGAAAACTTTTTATTATTTTTTACTTCTCTAGAACCACTGGGCCAATTTTACCAAATTCATATAGAAATATGTACATTTGTATGTCAGACTGTCCATCTGTCTCAATAAATTTAACCTTGGTCATCACAGTCATATCTACTGAATGAGAAGAGACATTCATATTAAACTTATGTATTAGTATATTTACCCGTGAGAATGGCATGGGTTTTTTTTTTTTTTTTACATGTGACCTAGAAGTTTGACCTACTTGCAAAAAAATTAAATTGTTATAAATTCATCATTTTGAAAGAGAAAAGTTAGGGCATTCATATCATAATGCATGTATATTATTACCTGTGATAAGACCTTTCCAAATAAATCATGACTTTTACTCTGTGACCTTGACCTTGAAGCAGTCAAGCCTAACCTACTTTTCAAAAATGTTGCATTTGCTTATAACTTTTGATTGAGATGAGATATGACTCTCACATTGGACATGTACATTAATTACTCATAAGAAATCAAGGTGTTTCCCAGCATGCGATGCTTTTTTACCCCTTGACGTTGATGTTTTACATAATTTTCAAAAATTTTAACTCTCCTAAAAGATGATTAGGCTTCTGAGTAACATTAAGGAAGACTTCAGGGAAGACAGGGCTTTTTGCACAAAAAATATCATTTTTCGACCCACATTTGACCCCCCAGGGCAAAATCTAAATTCCAAAACCTTACTGCACATCAACCTGACACCACCAACCATCTCCCAAAAGATGATTAGGCTACTGTGTAAAATGTAGGAGAAATTCAGGGAAGACGGGGCTTTTTGCATAAAAAACGTCATTTTTTGCCCCCATTTGACCCCCTGGGGCAAGATCAAAATTCCGAAACCCTACTGCACATCTACATGACACCATCAACCATCTCCCAAAAGGTGATTAGGCTGCTGAGTAAAATGTAAGAGGAGTTCAGAGAAGACGGGGCTTTTAGCATAAAAAACATCATTTTTCGACCCCCATTTGACCCCCCGGGGCAAAATCAAAATTCCGAAACCTTACTGCACATCTACATGACCCCACCAACCATCTCCCAAAAGATGATTAGGCTGCTGAGTAAAATGTAAGAGGAGTTCAGGGAAAACAGGGCTTTTTGTATAAAAAACGTTATTTTTCGACCCCCATTTGACCCCCCGGGGCAAAATCAAAATTCCGAAACCTTACTGCACATCTACCTGACACCACCAACCATCTCCCAAAAGATGATTAGGCTACAGTGTAAAATGTAGAAGGAGTTCAGGGAAGACGGGACTTTTTGCATAAAAAATGACATTTTTCGACCCCCATTTGACCCCCCGGGGCAAAATCAAAATTCAGAAACCTTACTGCACATCTACATGACACCACTAATCATCCCACAAAAGATGATTAGGCTGCTAAGTAAAATGTAAGAGAGTTCAGGGAAGATGGGGCTTTTTGCATAAAAAACGTCATTTTTCGACCCCCATTTGACCCCCCGGGGCAAAATCAAAATTCCGAAACCTTACTGCACATCTACATGACACCACCAATCATCCCCCAAAAGGTGATTAGGCTGCTGAGTAAAATGTAGAAGGAGTTCAGGGAAGACGGGACTTTTTGCACAAAAAACGTCATTTTTCGACCCCCATTTGACCCCCCGGGGCAAAATCAAAATTCCGAAACCTTACTGCACATCTACATGACACCACCAACCATCTCCCAAAAGATGATTAAGCTACTGTGTAAAATGTAGAAGGAGTTCAGGGAAGAAAAGTGTGACGGACGGACGGACGGACGGACGGACATGAGTAACAACAATATACCCGAACTTTCTTTAGAAAGTGCGGGTATAAAAAGATTATGAGCATGTTAAATATAATCAAGTTACGTCTATAGCGAGTTCTTCTAATTCTTTGTTATATCATCTTGCCTGAATCGTCGAACCTATCGTTAAGTTGATCAGGAAAGTGATGGCTACGGTATAACATTTTTACTGTACCATTGTATGTCTGTTCTCACTACAGTATGAAAATAGAATATTAGCAGATTAGTTGTGTTTTCTGAGCCCAGCATTTGTCATTTGTTAAGGGTTGGCCTTTTTTTGCTATTGAATACACAGAACATAAATTATACTTAGAATTCGTAACCTTTTTGAATCTCAAGATCATTTACAGGAATATTACTTGACCAAAGAGTAATCTTCAGGTTTCTGTGTTTCAATTTTCCGCACATGTGAAGTTCTTTAACAGAACGCACGATTTCAGGAATTTTCTCGGAACTGAATTCTTCTTTAATTAAACAATTAAAAAGCTAATTTGAACACCAGGTGCTATTATCCTGCCCCTTATTTGTTATGAAGACATGGATAACAAGCATTCTAAGAGCATTGCATTAACAAAACATTTCCCCTGTAGGGGTCCCCTATTCTCTTTAGGATGTCATTTTATAATATCCTGTATGAAAAAGGGCCCCGAAAATGTGAATATTTAGGTAAATACTTGTTTATGATTGAAATATCAGAAAACGTGTTTGAATGCCGTTAGAATATATTTATGCTTTGAAATTAATCCGAACAGCTTATTTGACATGGTTTAAACAATTTTATCTAAAAAAGATCAAACTTGATCTAT